TCTATCTATCTATCTATCTATCTATCTATCTATCTATCTATCTATCTGTCTATCTATCTATCTATCTATCTATGCATCCATATAACATACATATTACATACATATATATTTTTATGAGGCTCAGTAATGGATCAGCACGTTTCGGCGGGGTAAATGTGCATTTCTCCGTAGGTGTGCACTGAGCAGCCACCTTATCTGGCGGATATTTAGCAGTCGTGGGCAGCTTTTACTGTCGGGTTTTCTGCATTCGGGGGTGACTCGCTGGTCCCTCCTCCACCGGTTTCTACTTTGGTGTGCAGTGATGTAGGCCAGCGCTGTCTATTTTCCAGCAGTCATTTTGTAGGTGTAGTTTTTGGAACGAGGCCATCTGCATGCATCATCATCATCAAGTCCTCCAGCGTAACATCAACCCTCTGTGGAACTGGACCTTAGTTTACCTCCGTTTGTCAATCCGACCAGATACTTCTTACCAAAACTACTTAGTAACTAAGACACCTGTGTGTCCTGCTAACGCTGGTGGGAGGCTTGCTTTAGTCTCATTAAAAATCTCAGGATAATCAAACATATTATAGTTGAGCAAGTTCCTTTTACAGGACAGAAATAATCTACCTTTCTCAGAATGGGTGCAGATCAAATTTGAATTTAGGCGACAAGTTATGGTCTAAATGCTAAATTCCTACCATGAATCTGCATCTCTGTCCACACTGACACTCAGAGACAAATGGGAAAAATAGGAATTCAGAATATCTAAAGATGAGACAAAGATCAGGTTACATTATGTCCAATTTATTCATGTGAGCTGTAGAACTGCTTATAAGAATCAGATGTGGAGTTTCCAATTTCTATATCAGAAAAGCATCTAATGCCACATAAGTAGATGTATGCTACGCACAGAAAAATTATATTTTCCCAAAATATCCTGAATTTTATTGTTTAGCAGGGGTTGTGGAGCTCTTTTGTAGTAGTATAGTTAGAAAACCAAACCACCCTTTTCTGTGGATGGTACAAAACAGTGACAATGATACAAACAGAAGAAATATGAACAGAGATGAACTTTAGTCATCCTTATGTGGGGAAAATTTTTGTTACAGCAGTCGTGGCATTTTACATCCGAAAGGTCAAAGGACTCCTCTGTGGCTGAGGAACAGAGGGGGGGGGTCTGACGTTCAGCAGAACAAGCTCCGAGAGTGCAATAAGAAAATGGTTTTAAAAGTTAATATGAAGGAAAAACATTTGCTGAAAGGCCTGACGAGCTGAACAGAAAGTAACGTCCTCCAAATTATGTGGGAGGCTGTTGTAGTTCGGGTTAAAAATAGATTTTTAACTAATGTATTTAGGTTTTATTCTAAATTAATTCAATGGCAGTGATTTGGACAACTATATTACATCATATTACACAAAAACAACAAGACCTCAAAACATTTTGTTGAACATTTTTTTGGCCTGAATTGATCACAATCAATTGATTACTCAGTTTTTTCGTTGTCTTTGTCCAGAAGGTTCTGCTTATGTTTGGTTTTGGCTGAAGTTTCTCTAAAGATGTCTCCAAAGAGGAGTTTTCTATCTTAGAAAAGCGGCTGTATGTTCTCAGTAGTAATTAAAGTAGGCTACAAACTCTGCTAGGATGGTAATATATCACTTCTGAGGTTTTTGTTGGCCTAAAGTGTTAACAAAATACATATATTTGGTAGTTTTATATTCAGCAAGATCATTTTTTGAGTAAAAATCTACCAGAAATTGCGTCTCCTTGCTGGTTCTTTACCCAAAGAAGTAAAATGCTGGTTATTGAATGTGAACGTTCCTGTAATTATTTATTATTTTTCTTTTGTGTTTGCGTTTTAGTGTTCTTTCTCTTTGGCTTTTTTTCTGAATATTTGACAGCTTGTACTTTAAGACACTGCAAGCACGCTGAATTAAAAAATAAATAAATACGGCATGTAGAAACTAATGGGTCCCTGGTTGCTGATC